ATATATATAATAGAGTGCATGTTCTCTGGTAGCAATTGGCTTGATACAGTCCTGGAAAGCTGTAAAACAGAGTGATAGCATGATCTCAACACACATTTTTATAGCTTTTAACAGTTCTCAGAGTCCATTTCCTCCCTTTTCATTTTCACCAGTTTCAGAGATAGATTTATATTCAAATGAAGGAGATTTTTAGATTGTTCCCATGCCAACAGCATGCTGTAATACCATGTCAGCACATAGGTAATTACAGAATGTAAAGCATCAATCACAGAATGAAGATACCAAAATGAAAGTGGCTGATTTCTGCAATGCCCTCACATACTACTTTTCTAGGCAAACAGAATATCTGTGTGCCAACATTTTGGAGTGGATTTTCTTATACAGGCCACAACACTTCAGAGAACAGTATCACCTAAAAATGGAATGCTGTTTCAGAGATGGTAATTCAGTAGGAGAGCTGGGCAAAATGATGCTGGAGCAACTCTTCAGCTGAAGGTCTCTTCCTGGCTTCCACAAAGATCTGCCTTAAGAAGTCCCGACAAGGTTCTGATATATGAGAAGGAAGCTGGGGGTTAGTGGGCTGTGTGGCAATCTTGAAAATGGCTGCCATAGCTTCATATTCTGCCCAGGGTGGTTTCTCTGTTAACATTTCCACAACAGTACAGGCAAGGCTCCTGGGAGAAGAAAACACACAGAAGAGAGCTCAAAGTCACACAGTGACAAGTCCCTTTGTAACTCACTATAATCATTACTGTGATATGAAAAGATATTGAAAACAGAGGGGACTAACTAGCTGTCTTATTTATTTTCTCATAACGGCATCTGACCCATTACTGTAGCATGTAGAAGAGAGATTAAAGGAAATTTAGTCTTAAAAAGACTGAGATGGGGATTTAACAGCATTCATGAAATGGCACACAGGTGGTGGTCAAAATCTGCTCTCCACAGTTCCAGAGTAATTTTGGTATCTCCATAAATTAGCAGGTTACTTATCTGTAGCTATAAATACTTCTGAGTATTTTGTGCGTTCAGATACATGGGTGTACAAGTATGCCAAGCAAAATTCTGGAATATGTTCCAGCTGAGCTTTATGATGGAAAGCCCTCCATCTAGATAGCCTAATCATATCACCCTGCTCAGCTCCCATACTACCATTTTGCTCTTAATAAAACAAGGGCACCTGTAGCAGGGAATGTGGAAGAGTATAAATGCACCATGATCATTGAAAAGCCACAGATAAATAACCATTATTTTTCACCACATCACATGTGTGGAAATTATGAGGAGATGGGACATTTGCTATTTTGAGAAAACAGATGAAACAGTACAGCAGCTGCTTTAACTGAATATCGAGATGGCATTGATTTACAAATGTAGAAGGAATTGACCATCTTGAAGTGAGGTGGTAGCTAAATGTTCAAAGACTTGGAGGCCAGTTGAATATTAGAGGAAAATCCAGGATCTGCAGACCAAGAGATGGGGAAAAAATTAATCCAGTGGTGGGAGGCTGAAATTAACAACAACAAAACTAATGACAAAGAACCTCTAAAACCATATCAAGCAGGGAAGAATCAGCCATTCAACTCTGGTTGAATCTGCAAATTGCCAGAAAGCTGCCTACTTGGCCCTGTAAGAACATACATTTTAAAGCTTTCTTGAGGACTTAATAATGAATCGGGCCATTAAACATAGGAGTTGAGATTCTGAATAGCAAGGCCATTAAGCAAAAGCCCTGACATCAAGAGAGGAGGTTCCTCATACTGCAAGAGACTCTGAAACTGGTGACAGGTCAACAATAGTAGGTTCAGGAAGGATGGCTGCCTTGGACATTACAATGTTGAGTAATACAAAGTCACGTCATAATAAAGCTTGACAAGAAGCCTGGTAGCAAAGGAAGATGGAGAAATGCATAATACAGAGTCTCTATTATTTTATACTAGAATGCACCCTTCAGTGAAATTGTGATCCCTTATCAACCAACTTCAGTGTTCAACATTGACAGTTGTGAACATCTGTATATACAACTACCTGAGATGTGTCATAGTTGAATACACTAGAGAGTAGTTGAGAAAGCATCATCCAACTGTGGTTCACAGCTTCTACACAAATGAGTCCATCTTCCAGTAGAAAAATGTGGTGGTGAATGCAGTGTTAAGACAGAGCAGAATCCCAGAATGTTTCTTCCTAATTTATGTTTTTCAAATGCTCAAGTGTTTTCAGATATTACTTGTGTGACATGCTTCAAAAAACCACTGAAATTCATGAAAGACTTTCATCACTGCAGGTAGTTCCAATATGTTTAAATGCAGTTAGCCTTTTTGCCAAGTCCAATGACCAGAAATTGTTAGACTCTTCAGTGTGCTCCTTATCCCATCTTGGAAATGAGTCCAGGAAGGCTGTAACATGATGAATGGCAGGCTGCCATTTAAATTATTTGGGTACATCCATCATAGAAGGCAGACAACAAGAAGTGATATTTGATCAGATTCAAGTGATGACGAAGACCCTGACAAATCAACACTGGAGGAATCGCATATAAAGATATATGAAAGCAACCAGGGTAGTGGTCAAGGCCATGAGATTCAGAAGACATTTCATTTAATTTGCTCAGAATTAGCAGCAGCATGCAAAGGGTATGGCTACAATGGTCTTTATTCAATCCTTGGATGGGAATGTCTGGCAAGATAATAAATCCAAGAACGCTCTTATAAAATGATCCATTACATGGAAGAGAAGTTGGACTTGCTCAATTTGCAGAGAAATCAAGGGTTTCTCTGAAAGAAAAAGAAGTGTAGACATGTGAAATATTGTTTGTAAAAGCTGATTCAACCTGAAGCCAATCATCTGTATGAAAGAGTATCTTAATGCCGAGTGTTCTGAGACGAGCAATTACCACTGCTACGCCACTGATTAATTCTCCTGGGACTACAGATCTATTTGGAACTGAAGAAAGGAGCAGATGTTCTTTCTAACAGCTAAAATTGGCATCCTTTAGTTTGAGTGCTGCAAAATAGCCTCCAACTTGAATAGAAATGAAGTCATTCAATGTTTTGGAATGGTGATGCAAACTGTTAAGTTCAGATCTTGAAGATTAAAAATGGATATAAAGCACCACCTTTGTTCTAAATTGTGGAGTGATTTAACATGTTATTTACCTTACTACTAAATAAAAAGTGAATTGTAAAGTGAAAGTCTTCAATAAGCGCCTGAGCTTCTGCTATGATCTTGGAGGATCATAAGCAAGAATAAGACCTCAATACTTTACTTCCAGCCAGGGACTTGGCAGCACAATCTACATTATGTTGGGAAGTGCTGAACTGATTTTTGGGTAATTTGTTTGCATCAGCACTGTTCCAATGTATAGGTGGGAGGAGCACTTTTGAACTTTGTATACACTCTCCAACCCTGAGGCATCTACTAAGGAACTGGACAATGATTCCTTCTCCTCCTTTGGACAGCAGTAACCATATCAGAAGTTACCGAATTGATTGATTCTCTGAAAACAAGAAAAGCACCAGTGCTCACTGAGCTAATTAAAAGGAATCTAGATTGGATCTTATGTGTCTATGTCTATACATCTAAACTGTACTGCCAGTATCCCCAAAGACTGGGTCATAGCAGTAATTGTTCCAATTTATTATAAAAAAAAGATAACAACAATAATCCAGTTAACTACCACCCTGTCAACTTGCTGAGTGTAGTCAGTAAGCTTACACTAAACACCTAAATCAAAAGGTACAATACTGGCTGAATTTTGAAAGCATACCTGGGGATGAATCAGCAGGCTTCAGATCTGAACGTTCAATATCTGACCATATTTTAGTTTAAGAGAAAAATATACTCATAAACCAAATCTTTAAATTTAAATTTAGCTTTTAAATTTAATTAAAATTTATTTATTTCTTAATATTAATATAACATTAAAGTAAATAAAGACTTTAAATTTACTTTTGACTCTATTTCAAAAGCAATTTTATGGGACAAACTTAAGAATTCATCGATAGGTACTTTTGCTCATTCAGAAACTCCATGCTAACACTTCCCTAAGAGTGAGATGTAACCCATAAAGAATACCCATAATATTTGAAAATGAATACCTACCCAGAAAGCAGGGATGCACAATGGCAACTATTAAACTTCTACATTAACTCTATGGCTGAAGCCTTAGATAAGCCAGATTTTCATTATCTACAACTTGCAGGCCTCAACACTCCGATCTTGCTATATGCTGATGGTGAAGTAATTATTTCATATATTCCAGCTAGCCTTAAGAGAGCCATAAAAGCTATAGTCCAATATTGAAGGATTTAAAAAACCAAAAATTATGGTATGATAAAACCAAAGAGATGGGTAATTGAGAAGAATAAAATCAAGTAGGTCTAGAACTTCAAATACTGGGAATAATTTTTCACCATACAAAGATGTGGAAGGCCTTGATCAAGTATGTTAAGCAAAGAACACTTGGATCCTCAATGGCTATTAAAAGAACTTCTCTAAAGGAAGAAAACTGATCCCAGCATTTTGAAAACTCTTTCAGGCAAAATAGCTAGCCCTATTCCTTTATGGGGTTTACATGAATAGAAAGGAAATCGACACAGTGCAACTAAAAGGTGTTCTTTCTGCTCCTAGATGTATATCCTGTGCAGCTAGACTAGAGAATGGTATCCCCAGAAGAGCAGTGAAGTCTTGGCTCAAGTTCCTTCTTTTTCCCCCTTCAGGTTTAGTCCTGTTAGTTTTGGCAGATAAACATTTCTCAAAGTGGAAAGCCAAAGATGGTAAGAAGCTGCTATCATGTGGGCTTTTGGCAGAGTTGCTTACCTCTCTAGGGTATGACTTGGCTAATCAGTTTCTCCTGCAAAGAGTCTAAGATATGGAACACTAAAATGAAGTGAACAGGATATCACAGAACAACAAGCTTTGTTTAAAAATTCCACCTGGAACCAACAAACTAAGTACCCTACTTAAGTAACACTCACCTTTCCAGAGCTATAAGGAGAATTCTTTATGGCTAGATATAACATTCTTCCACTTGCATTTTTAAAAGATAAAGAGTTTAAAATTCCCCTTGACGAGAAAGCCTGCCCATGAGAATTGGGGGAAATTGAAATAATAAACCTCATTTTATTATACTGCCTTTCCTATAAGGACTTGCATTTAAAATACATTAGCCCTGTACTGCTGAATTACCGAGGCAGATTGGAGGAATATTATTCTGCTCCTTTCAGATGTGAAGTATCACATAATTCTCAGGATAGCTAACTTCTGTGTGGCCACTTTGAAAACATAACAGACTGTTTAATATGATGCCTTAGATGGGACAGACTCTCATGGAGTTTAACCATGTTTTACAAATTTGTGTTTGATCTTTAATCATAAATAAAGATATATGGATGCATCTTTGGGGAACCTGAAGATCCATGATTGTAACTAAATGAAATGTTGGAGGTAAGGAATAGTGGAGGAAGAAAAAGATCTTGATGTAAAGTTAAGACCACAGTCGGTAAAACCAAAGGAAGCACCAGAATGATGTTTGTTACAGAAGCAGATTAAACAGTATCAGAAGGATCACAGGTACTGGTCACGATGACACTGAATTGTAACTGTCCATACCAAAGACTTTGCAATTACATATCAGGGAACTTTTTTTGGCAAGCCTATACATGCGATGCATAGAGATTGTGAAGAAAAAAGAGTGAGGCGCATGGATTATCCCTGGATGATTGACTAACAGGACTTTCCTTAAGCTATTACTTTAAATATAGACACATACACAGCCTATGGTAGCCTATTTCCTAGAAACTCTGCCTTCCTATGGCGTCTTGTTTCTAGAAAAGTATGAACACAAGTCAATTATGCAAGCCTTCTTCAAGGTGAAATGTTATGAAAGTAAAAGCATTCTAACACAGAGCAAGGAAAGTGGCCTATCTTTTAAATTACTTTATCCCAAAAAATAAGTTTATAAAGGAGCTATAAACAAATGCTACTCAATAGTACAAATACATACATGAATGCACATTATGCTATAATGCTGTTTTTTAAATTTATTCTTTGTCAAAAGAACTTCTCCAAACCATGAAAAAAACTACTATCCAAGAAAAATACGTCTTAATACATACTTTTACTAAAGTCAAACCAACTTGCAAGAATTAATTTCTTCATCTCGTCTTTAAAAATATATGGACCATTGTGTCCTAATCCCTAACTGAAAAGGAACTGTTTTGAAACACTGGTTTAAATACCATGATCATAAAAAAACAGTTCATAAAAAAAGTTAATTAGAGGTTCTTTGTTATCCCACAGTTGCAAATGCTTATGAGAAATTTAAATGGATATTTTTTAAAGCTTGTGTCCTATGTGGTCAGTGATTATAGAAACTGTAGTTCAACACATCTGCAATTTAGCAGACTGTATAAAAGTATTTTAAAGGAGCTTTCCCCAATCTATTGAAAACCAACAGAGAAAACGTGAACAGTCAGAAAGCTTGCAGGCTTTCTGAATGAAAGACTGTTTAGATCAGGGTGGGCAACCTGTGAGTTGCATGTGGCCCTGCTTCTTTTTGGCTGCCCTTACTGATGACATTGCACATTTCTGAGTGTTTTAAAACTAAACTAAGATACTTACTTTGCTTTGCTTCTTAAATATGTTACATTTAATAAACCAATTTTACTTAGTACCACCAATCTGATTCCCTGAAATAGGCAAAATATTATGGCTTACCCATCCCATGCCATTATCACATCACCACCTAAAGGCTGATTTATTAAAAGATGGCTGTTCCACTTCTTTAATGTGGGATCTTTTGTTTTGTTTTGGAAACTGAGCAAACAAGAAGCAAATATTTGATATGTCCACCCCTGCAACTGCACAACACATTTATTCAGAGATTTTGTAAAGTACTGGGAGAGAAGCCTAAGCAAGAGTTGTTGCTGCTGCTGTTTTGTTTTGAGACTTTTCCTGTATATCTGATAGGGATTTAGAACATTTTAGTTTCAAAAATAACCATCCAAAAGCAGCTTTGATAAGCAGAAACTAATGACAAAGAGAAATCTATTTTTAGATTAGACAATATGCTTTAGTGACAAAAAAGGTCAAGTTTAAGTTTGGCAATTACACAGAAGATTACGGCAACTCTCATCAGCTTCTCCTCCTCTTCAAATAATAAGTGGGTTGACTGCTGGCAGAATGGAGCCACTGCAAAACTAAGAGGAGATATCAGCATGCTTGGATGACTTCTGAGCTGTTACAAAAGCAAGCAAAACTGTGCAGAAAACCAAAGAAACAGACTGGGAACATAGAGCACTGAGCATCAGTGGGAAAAGAAGGGGGGGAGGGGAGAGGGGAAAATAAATTAGCCTGTTGAGCCCATTTACAGAAAATGATTAATAGTGTCAGAATATTGGCTCAGAATATTGCAGCAGAAAATTTCCTTTTCTAGAAAGCAACCCTTTATATTAAGCAAGCTATACAGAGCTATTTCTCACCAGATATCAGCTTTTCTTCCATAGCCCTCTCCACTGATCACCTCTGGGCTCATCCAATAAGGGGTGCCAGTGACAGAGCGGATGCCAGTCCCAGACATGCAGATTGTCTGCAGTCGCTTGCTAGCCCCAAAGTCTCCAAGCTTCACATTGCCAGCAGAATCTCGGAGAATGTTGGCTCCTGAGATGAAGTGAGAGTAGAGATGGAGAAAAAGAAAAGAAATAGAAGCTGCTCAAGTATACAACTCAAAGTGTAGATTTATAACCTTCACAGCTAGCACCTAGTTTACAATGACTTGAGTTCCATACAGATTCTCTGTCACCAGATCCACCTTGCAATATTCAGTTCCAAAGATGAAGAGGGTTCTTTTTAGAGATGCATCCAAGCCACCATTTTCTCGGTTTACTACTGTACATTATGACCCACAGCATACCACATTGCATAAGATAGTCAAAACTACAGAGTCACCAACCTTTTTAGGTTAGTGGAGACATCTGATCCTTGAAAGTTGTGTTTGCTTTAACAAAATGACTCTCATAGGGTTGAACCTGCTTATTCATAAAATAGCTGCAGTGACTAACGTAGCCAGTCACAAAACACCAATTTAAAAGGTGATGAGATGTTCTCTGCCATATTCTTTAGATCCCTCTCCCCTCCATGCTCCTTGCCAATCTCCAGCTTGATTCTGTCCTTTTTTCCAGGTTGCAACTGTCCACCATTTTTATTTTCCAACAGTAACTATGGACCCCACTCTTTAAAAAAAATTAAAATGTCAGATGAGGCATGTACCAAGGGAATTACTTGTTACACTTAAAAGCTGACCATTTTTTCTTATGTTCCCAATCTAATTAGAGACTATAGCATGGAAAACAATGCAAACATATCATGCAGTTTTCCCAGTGAAAACCATCTGTTATGCTGTTATTTGCTTTATAGATACTATTCATTGCAAACTATACCTTTGGAAACAAATGACAGTAACTGGGTGGAGGGTGGAGGATTTTGACTAATAAAGGAACAAGAGGAAAGGATAAACTCCCTCCCTTATTGTATCCATAATATAACTTCCAGATCTTCTCACCACTCTCGCGCTATTTCTTGAACTAGTCAAGAGGTCTTCCATTTGTCATTTCTCAATGTGATTATTATACTGCAGAATATATAGTTGCTATTTTTTCCCATAAGTAAAACCAAGTTATTTTGTAATACCAGTTCATGACTTTTCTAGCATACCAGCAAATAGATTTTTAGGGGGATTGTCTGCACATGAATTCAATAACAAGATAATTAACAATATTTTTAAGAAAAGAAGTGAACAGTATTAGGTTAATGATACTAATGGTATCCTGTAAAAACATAGCCAACATTTATTTCCTGTCATTTGGGGCATAAATGAGCATAATAGTGTATGTAGAAAAAAGGAACCCATATGGGTTTGTGTGGATCTCTTACCTTTTATATCTCTGTGTACAATCATGTTGCTGTGAAGGTAACAGACTCCTTCAAGAATCTGCCGAGTGTATTTTCGAGTCACATTTTCTGTCAGTGCACCATAGGCTTTTAGCTGATCTTTGACAGAACCCTTCACAGAAAAAGCAGGAAAGATATATATTTATATTTTTTATATTTGTGCCTTCAAATCAGTCTTGACTCCTGGGGACTGCCTGGATAAATCCACGCAGTGCTCTTGGCAAGATTTTCGGAAGTGGTTTGCCACTGACTTTTTTCCAAGGCTAAGAGAGAGTGGCCCAAAGTCATCCAGCTGGCTTTGTGCTTAAGGCAGGACTTAGAACTTACTGTTTCCAGGTTTCTAGTCAGATACCTTTAACCACTACACGAAACTGGCTTTTTAAAGAAATTGAAGGGAATTAAAAAGTAAATAACTCTGCATCCTACTGAAGTCTGAGGTGGCTTACAACCACTTTCTAAAGAATCCATACAACCCTTACCCCTGGCATGTACTCCATGAAAATGCTCAGGGTCTTTTCTGCTCGGTCCCTCAAGCACCCATAATACTGAACAATCCGCTCGTGCTGAAGGTTCTTCAGTAGCTGAATCTCACATTCCAATGCGCTCACTTCCTGCAGGCATAAAAACTGCAGATTACCTTGGGAAAGCCATAGGACATTGACTTCTGCATAAATCCCACTTTCTAGTGGAAGTAAAATTTAGGCAATCTAAGGCTAATAAATTACGGGTTATTAGACTTCTTTTTCTCTCTCACCTCCTATGCATCTGAAATTAAATATTACTATTTCTTAAAGGACAATATGCTGACATGTCTGATATGGAAACGTAAGCACTATTTATAAACTGATCCATAATGAGGATAGTCTATAACATAACTGCAAAAATGGTCACTTTTAGGTAGTTGCCAAAACATTCAACTTTGCGTTCTAATTTGTGTATGGCATAACGTCCTAACTACAAATATGTGAGTGAAGAACATTTTGAAAACAAAACAACTCTGGCGCCTCACTCTGTTTTTTTCTCCAAATCTGTCTTGTAGGCAATATGCTCTTTTCTATGCTTATCTCATAGCTATCACCCTCTCTACAGCTATACTATTCAGCCCCACAGCAAGGTTGCTTTGAATAAAGCCAAGCAAAGAAAACAGACCTGCAAGAGATAAAGACATTATGTAATTATTTTTGTGGAAACTGCAAAGTCACTATCAAAGGATGGATTAAAAGCCTACAACAAATGTGTTTACATTGTAACTGCAAATTGCAATTTGGGATCTTGTCCCTATCAATGTCATCTCTGTCTCCAACCACAGGAGAGCCTCACATGCTGCCCTCCTCATCCACTCAAAACCATCTTTAATAACTAGATGCACATCAACATACAGTGGTGCTTAAAAGTTAGTGAACCCTTTTGAATTTTGAACCCCACACACAAATATGTAGCTTTGGATCATTTTCCTCAATAAATAAATGAAGAAGTATAATGTTTTTGACTCATTTGTTTAATTGGTTTCTCTTTATCTAATTTTAGGACTTGTGAGGAGAACAGATCACGTTTTACCTCATATTTATGCAGAAATACTGAAAATTCAAAAAGGGTTCACAAACATTTCACTGTAGCACTGTTTTTATCCTACTCTCAATGCATCAGTTAGTATAAGGAAAGGAAGAGGAAGAAACAGAACCAAATGCCACTGCTAGGTGAGAAAAACAGGAGAACAATTGCAACAAGAAATACAACCCAAGAAATGCTAAATAAATGGCTCAATTGGGCCATGAGTGAATATCAAAGATCTGGTTGCAGAGTTTGCTATTATAGATCAGGGAAGTTGAAAGTGTGAACTGTGAACTGTTGAAAGGGTGATACAGAGGCATTTTAGTAACAATGTTTAGCCACTAAAGTACCTTGCTTGTTTCAGGACTGTCTGGGTCAAACTGGACCTGTTTAGCTGCAAGTTCTCTGCCTGTATCTACATCGTAGCACAAGTACACCCGACCAAAGGCACCTTGTCCGAGGAGCTTCCCTCGTAGCCAGTTGACTGGAGCACTTGGAGCTGTCAAACACAAGTCATTTTCCATTTATACTTCCATCCTGAGACTGACATCAATAGTACTGATTTATTTCAGCTTATTTAACTGCTAAAACAGCGAGAAAGACAGAGATGCTTCCCATATCTAAGTTACAACAGTCCAGTATCTCAGAGCTGAAAAGTGTGACATGTAAATATGTAACTTAAAATAATGCTGCAGTTAATTGATTCTTGCTAATTCCCAGGACAGTCACATCAGCATTTCACAAATTTTCTATCCCAATATTCCTCAAAGAACAGCTATGCCATATCAAGAGCATCTATCTCAGCATTCTTGCTAATGACAACCAGAAGCCCTAAAGAAGCTTCTAAGCAGGCTAAGCTGGCATTCTCAATTGCTTTGCCCTAGAAAAAAGAGGCACAATCTGTTCTTAATTATCAGCAAAAAAGTCAGAGACAAACTAACCCATAGATGTAAAATTTCCAGAGTTTCCCCCTGGAAATAATTGAAAGTTTGAGAAATACTGAAATATGTACAGCATTTCTTTATCAAATTTAAATCTATTTTATAATGCTCACATAATTAACTGTACAATTTATTTAACCTTATTGAAACCTGGTACACTGAACTACAAACACAACTGAATTCCAGATACATAGAACAACAACCCTCACTGTCCCCTGCCAGCTGACTGCAAAAATGAGAATTATAATCTACCACATCTAGAAGGTGTTAGGTTGAGGAGGTTAAATTATTTTATAAGTTATAAATAATTGTTTACAATGACAAAATTGTCCTATCTAATGTAATTCATGAAACTTACTCCCAGCTAAGCTTGTATAGGAATGCAATTCTCAAATGTTTTGTGGAGTACATCTGCTCATTAACGTAATGTTCAATCACCCTTATGTGTTTGTAGGCCTGCAGCCTCACCCTGTATAAGCAAAGGAGGGATAGATATAGGATGCTGAATGAGTATCACTAAGTACGATCCAAGGTTACCACATTATGGCAAACTACACTTCAGAATTATCAGTGAATTATCACATTCAGCAATATTTTTTTGTTTTTGTATTCCTGTTGCACAGAATTTAAAGAATACTGTACTGAACTTTAATTTAATTTTATCTAACAGTTTCTGCATTGGTGCACTGGCTGGCCTAGGGATTTGCATTTACTATTTTTTCTGGTTTGCTTGCCTGAATTATTTTTATGCAATCCTTTACATATTTACCTGAGAGTAAGTTACCCAGAGGGTCTTATTTTGAGTAGAGAGGAGTAAGATTTTATTGTAAGCACAACATAAGTGGATTTTGGTAAATGTTCTATTCTATTTAGCTAATGTCCTTGCATTTTTTATCCTAACCTCTATAATGCTTCCCACTGAAAACCCCTTCCCCCACTGGAATACGGTCTTCAGTCTGAAATAGACTCCCCATTCTTAGCCTATGGAACATACAGCAGTGAAAACAAAAACAAAATTTTAATGAACAGAGCCTTTCCATAACAAGCTTTCCATCTATTATTCCAAAAGAGAAAACACCTCATATAAATGTTGCTTTTCCATAACCATGCAAAATTTCCACGTAAAAGTTTGTTCAAAAAAAGCAAAATTGCATATTTTTCTCAATCCTTGTATCTCTAGAGCTATTGCTATGAATTTTATTCCATCTGTTAAAAAGTCAGTCTATTAATACAAGCAACAGAGCATCCTGCAGTAATCATTAGTAAATATTCCTGTATCTGGGAGTATCTACTTACATTTGGTTGGGATGTTTCTCTCCTGCACAGTGAGGGTATTCTCACTATCAGCACTCCACATACGTCCACAGGTGTCAAGATACTGTACTGTCAGGCCAAGGTTCTCCCCATTGGTGCTTAAGGAGCGGCTTGATGGTACTAGTGTGAAGAGGTTGCCCTGTTGGCGTCGAATGCGGGGAAATGTCCTCCGGCCTGAATAGGTAACAAGTACCATGAAAACGAAACTTAAATATCCCAGTCAACAGACTTGATACAACGAAACAGGGATGGGACTAAAATTTTGAAATATGAAATATTCAGGATAGATGAAATCAAATGTAATTGTTTGCTATGCAAAGGAAGAGTAAAAGTGAACACACACTGAGCAATTCTACCTTAGAGTGTACAGACCAATCTTGCATTAACTGTGCGTCATATGTATTGGCAGGTGTAGGGGAGGGAAGGGAAGAAACAAAATCTTTTTGCTGGTAAAAAAATGTGTTTCTTCACAGAATCATCCATGAATCAATTTAATTGCCCAATAAATTCTGAATATAAGCACTGTTTTAGAGGTAGCAATATTTGCTCTTAAGGTATCACTTTCATCCTCTTATAACCCCAGAACAGTCAGGAGCTCACAATTGGAATTAACATAGTCCCACTTTCCTAACTCTCTTTCCTTTTTATTTTTTTTTGAGTAAATTCACTGCAGTAAAACAAGGAGATAAAGTTGTTTTATTAGTACAATTTTTCCCTGCCGCCTCCTCCTAGTTCAAGCTATTTAAAGAAGGATGAAGGGGAGAAAAGGGGTTGGCAACTAGTGAAGCAGACAGCTTCTATAGAGAGTATTGTGAAGTGGTAATCCTATTATTAAGATTAAAAAGGGGGTACACACCCACCATCATTGTAATCTTTGTACTGCATAGAGACATGGTAACGCCGAGGGTATGTCCCACCCTTCTCAGCTTTGTCAAAGATTTGATTCTCACGATCTAGGATAAAGAGGCAAAAAAGTTACATTATCAAACATGCATACAAAAAGCCCCTTTCAGGCAAATACATTTTGCCATAGGAGGTCTGAAGAGAAAAAAAGAAATCACTAACCTCACCATGGGAGGTGGGTGGGAGGTGGGAGGCTTGGCATGGGGGAATTCAAGGTTAACTCATCTGTCTATACAAACTGTGACAGTGACGAATGAATCAGAAGTACAGATGTGATTTAGTTCCTCACCAATTTCTACTACCCTACTGCTCAAAAGACAGGTGACTGCTAACAACTGATGGAAACATACTGACTGCACATTTACTGCACATTTTTCTTTAGCAAAAAAATAAATGCAGTAAATATACAAATGAAATAAGAAGGTTCTCTAGTTCCCTCCAGTTGCCAACAACTATCAGAGCAGATACCCAACTCACCTGAGAAATCTTGCCTATTATCTGGAAAGCTCTGGGCTCTGGACATGCAAGATTTTCGGAAAGAAAGGCTGTTTGGAAAAAGTGGGATAGGAGAATATAATGTTACAACTTACAAGGGCATGCCTTCCAAAGCACTTTTACCGTGTGTGTGTGTGTGTGTGTGTGTGTAATGTTTTTGTTACATTTTACATTTTTTACAAGATTAAAAAAAGTATAAAACTATTATACTATTATGTACGAGAAAAAAAAACACAAGAACTCAAAAATCTGCTTATGACATATCTGTTCCTCGTATTTCCCCCCCTCTGTGTTTTTAGTCTAGCTATATAGGCAAAAAGCTTAAATATTAATAGCTTAGTATTTTAAAGTTAATGGAGGGAAGTTGAAACATACTGCAGAGTTTCTATCAAAGAGGAAAATCTTTGTACAACTCTGACTTTAAACAGAAATACTCTCGAAACTGCCTGCTGTCAATACCTTTCTCCTGACTGGCTCAAGGACTGACAACTACCAGATATGGAGTTTTCAGCACTGCTTAAGGGATCCAACATCTAGAACAGAAGATTACAGAAAGTTATGTTAAAGTTAGTCTACTGTTGAAAAGACACAATTTAAAAAATTGAGTTGAGAAAACAGATTTTAAGCTCATTTAATTAGAACTGACAAAGAGTAATTAGGTGGGACTTTTCAAAATCAGTGCTCAATTGATAGCATTTCCATCCATTGTATTAGTGGAAATATCACAAGTAAGAAAAACATAGCCTGTAGGTAGCAACCATTTTGATACCAGAGCCAAGTGTTTCTTCACCAGTTGTTTGAGGGCTGTGGGGCTCACTTATGCACGTCCACTTTCCATCCATTTCTCCTACATACACACATTCTTCCAGTCAATGTTGCTAAGAGAGAGAGAGGAGGAGGAGGACTTCTTCTTCCCTCCCAGCATCCTGCACGGAAGTACTGAGTGGGCGGGAAGAAGACTGGTGGTTTACCTTGTCTCTCAACAACCTTGAAGTAATATCTCTCCTAGCAACAGGAGGGAAACGTTTTCTCCCAGCAGAGTGTTAGGTTCTGAATGACAGTGGACTTCAGAAACCTAGAGGCTTCTTCCTGATAGCAATACAGTCCAAGATTGCTGGAGGGAGCCCACCCCTTCCAACCATACTGACCAGGATCACTAGGAGACATATAAAAGCAAAACAGCAGATCATTGAATTCCTAATATGGGAATCCAGCCATTTTTGGCATGACATCCAGAGGGATGAAGGGAGTCTTCAATATTGCTGTCTATTATAGAGTTAAATTTTCCCATTATAGGTAATTGTGGAAGCTGTTTTGATTCTTACCTCTAATTGATAATATTGATCAGCTGGCTTATGGAGAAAATGGAAGAAACCTAGAGCTTGGCAGGACCTCCCTTTTCTGAAGCTAATGACATATGGATTTCCTAGTTGTGATGTAGCCAACATCCCCCAATTGCAATATACAAATGGTCCCCAGCATGTCAACACTTCTATGAGGAGGCAGAGAATCAATTCCTGAAGCTAAGGTTAAAGCATGATGTTCAGTAAAGTTAATACTCTAAAACACAGCTTTTATACACACACACATAGACCCAAGGGTATTTGCAAATATACAACCATGCACGAAAACATTAAACATGTTGGGTATGGCCTGTAGCTCACTGGTAAGACAATTATGTGACATGCAGAAGGTCCCATGCTTGATGTCTGGCATCACCATATAAGGCGGTGTTCACTCTGAAGCCAAGGGCCTCATGTGGCTTCCTAAAGACTTGATTGTGGCCTCCAGACACTTCCCAAAGTTGACACTGTATTATAATTTTTAATGTAACAGAATGGGGAAATAGTAAATATGCAGGAAGCACTCATCTTAATTGTATTTAAGTAATTTAAATGAAACTAAATCCAATTTAGTTTTAGTACAAACTCCATCCACTTTCTGGAGTGAATGTGACTCCCAACACACTACCCAAATGCCAAATGCAGCCACTGGTGTAAAGAAAGAGGTACAACTGATATAGAGTGAGCTGCTGCCAGTTGGTATAAGTGGCTATACAATATGAAGCTAGATAGATTATTAGTTTGTCTTGAGCTGTTTGGATGTAAGGCAACTTGCTATGTAGCATACAAAAAGCTCAGCTGAGGAAATTAATGGACACTGCTGGCTGTATTTTTTTAAAGAATATTTTTATCTGACTTTTGTATATTGATAAGTGTATATTGTATAAATATTTTTATGCTGATAAGTTCCTTGTATTTTAAACTTACACTTTGTTCATTGGTCTCTGGTATAAATTCTCCTTCACTATTTATGCTGGTATAGGACCCCTGGCGAGCTATTCGCTGCTGTCTCTCTGGGACATATCCTGGTGGAGGTGAACTTCGGCCTGTATTCTGAGAGCCTGAAGATTTAATAATGCTTATTAAATGGCTGCACAAGATAAAGGACATCTGAAAAGAAATACATTAGTTCTTTGCTGAAGCACTTCAAACAAAACACAAGCACCATTGCTAGTATCAAAAGATGCAAGGCCGATGGCATTTGGACCAACATTAGGAATGTGGCCCGAATAAGGTCCATAATGGATTTTACAATAAGAGAAAGGCATTTGAAAGATACTGTATGTGTGATCCATCTGATGGTATCATAAGCAAACATTTTGACAATGCAGAGGGACACGACTTTGTAAATGGAAAAAGAGGAAATACGCAAATAAAAAATACAAGAATCAAAGTCTGAAAGCACCCTCTGCCTACCATTATGAAAAACGACCTGAAGTATTTATTTAACTTCTTAATGAACTATCTTCTTTTCACATTATGTTACCAAGCATAGTAAATTAACTAGATTTCTTTATCAAACAAAAAGCATGATGCATCAAATAGAGAATGAATGTTTGTTAAATACTCAAGGGCTCAATGACCAAAATGTGAGGAATAACAAAACACGGCAATGTCTTCTTGTAAATACCATATGATTTTTTGGGGTAGGGAGGAAAAAACATTCTCCCATTCAGCTATAAATTCAAAGGAAAGAGAAAAACATTTGTAGCAACAGCATTTCAAATCTCTCCTGGCTAAAAGAAAGCTACATGTGGCCTCCCTTGTATCACTAAGGATCCTGATCTGTCTGATATTTGACCTCATTTAAGGGGAAATTCTGCTGCTCCAAATAGGGGTGAACGGAAAGGGGAGAAAACCTGCAACAGGCCTTCTGGAGAGAAGGACACACTTGTCAAGCACAGCACTGTATAGAACAGATTGTTGAACTAAGCTCCTGAACAACTATAACAAGGAGGGAAGCAAAAAGAGGCATAATCAGCTCAATATGTAATATAGTTTCCTCATGACATAATAACATCTATTATATATTTAAATAGTAATGACTTAATATTTTATCAGATAAAGGACTTATAGATAATTTAATCACATCTTTACTGTTAGCACTGTATTTTAACATTTTATGTGTGGCATCTAACAAAGTCCACTTATGGGGCAATATAAAAATAAAATAAGCCACATCTTTTGGCTGTTTAATGTTCTTCCACAGCAATCGGTACCCTATTGATTAATGTATTTCATTTCTACTACTTCTCTGTTTTTGATTATGTGAAAACAGAATGAAAAAAGAAATGCAGAATTTATCACACAAGGGAGGAAGCAGGATATCTGGATAAAAGTGTAAGAAAAGGATTATATACATAGAATTGTTCAGAAGCTAGATACATTTGGGCAGCCAATAGCAGGATATGAAGACAACAGGTTTCCCCATTCTTTAATCTCCAGTAATTGATATATAGCTTTTGAAAAGGAATTTCAGAGCAAGGGACAATTTAGAGATTGTAAGCCACAAATCAAAAATGTTGGCAGAGCTCGGTATTATTTATGGTCACTAATTCAGTGGTGGACTAGTACTACTCACTGATGGACAGGTGTCTGCTTCGGGTTTCAAGTGGCTGGTAGGCAGTATTTACATCTCCCGTGGATTGGGAAGTTTTGATTCTGACTTGCTTTGGCATCCCTGAATGGGATGAGAAACTGATCTGTTGAAAACAAAGTGAGACCAGTAAGATTTAAGCAACTTGGGGTTTGAAGGTTCTAATGTTTTAGTTTAAAAACAATGGCAATGGAAAAGAGGAGAGCATTATCAATCTGTTAACTAAGTCAAAATGGTTATTCCTACCTGTGCCAGGGGGTTAAATTATATAATGTGGTGGTAAATTCAAAATATTAATTTTGGGCTAGACAAATACTGAATAGGAACTATAGTTTGAGTACTATGGAAGTCTTGAACTGAGTTACAGCCTACAACAGCTTGTCAAGTACCTGCTGAGACAATGGCTCAAAATTTTTACAACGGGGCATGTGCATTCTGAGTGCAGAACCTGGCATTTACTAAGGATTCATCACTGTAATATTAATTAAAATTAAAGAGGGATATATTCTTAGCAAAGATCCCATGATCTTTGTATCTTTTATTCTACTAAATATAATGGTATCTAGATCAACTCAAAGTGAACTTCAAAAGGACTTTGAAACAGAATTCTCAGTACTTTAGAGTCTATACAAAGCTCAGGCTCTAAATTTATCTGAATTTGGAAAGCACTAGTAGGGGCAATTGGCAAACTGACTGTAGCCCTTACAATTTAAAAAATTGCATTTTTTCAATAGCAAGGAAAAACTACCTTTTTAAATAGTGAAAGATATGTAATCAAATGCTAAATCTGAAAATATTTTAGCATTTATAAATTATTTCCACTATGACAGGAGGAATTAACCTGGTACCCTTCAGATATTTTGGATTACAACTCCCATAAGCCCCAAACTTAATCAATGTTATTAGCACACTTTAAAAAAATGAATGAAATCAAATCAATGCATTCCATCATATAGAATTAACAGTTAAATTATTAAATTATTAAGAGACACCAGGCTAGAAACCAGGAGATTGTAAGTTCTAGTCCCTCCTTAGGCATGAAAGCCAGCTGGGTGACTTTGGGCCAGTCACACTCTCTCAGCCCAACTCACCTCACAGGGTTGTTGTTGTGGGTAAACTAGGAGGAAGAAGAAGTATTAGGTAAGTTCGCCGCCTTGATTTATTTATAAAAATAATAAAGGCGGGATAAAAAGATCTAAAAAAAATTCAAAACTTAATAAGGCTTTAAATATATATGCTTGTATGAACTAAACATCGCAATGCACCCTGAAGATGATGGGAGAACAGGGAAGGAGGACTGAAAATCAGTCAATCACTCAATCACATAAACAATCAAAGCAATACTTGAAGTAGAAAATATTTTCCTTGCTTTCTAGCTGGGATTTCATACAGTGCCAGTATCTTGGGGTTTCTTTTATTGCAACCTGAAATATATTTACAAATAGCTTCAAGATGAACAGTCAGTGAGTAGAAATAGGATGGAAGCACAGGAACTTATTCTTGTGATCATATTTGTTTCTGCTTTGAGCAGAGCAGGCAAAAATCTTACAGTGGATATTAGTTAATGACTAATACTAGGTTATAATAAATGTGAGACTGAAGTAGATTACATTGCTTTTACTCACATGGTTTTTGTCCTGAGACAGCAGTAATATTCTAAGGCTTTTCACATTTGAGCTTCGGTCTAAAAGATCTACTGCCTTATCAAGGTCATCTTGACTTTTCAAGGGAATAGATAACTGCAAAGAATGAACAGCGACACTCAATTAGTAAAGATTAATTCCATTTTAAATCCTATATAGCACAAAGGAATCAATATTGAGAGAGCAAGACAAAACTGACTCTTAAACTGCTTTAAGCTGTATATGCATTTGGATTAACCAGAATTTATGTAAGGAAAGCATATATAAGCTACAAATGAGGCTATATTACTCCTTCAAATATATTTCAGACTGTATTTATTTTGCATGTAGGAAATAATCCTATTATTACCTTTTGAACATAAACTACTTCTACATGCATTTCCCCAACTGATCTCCAGAAAACCTTCTATTCTTCTGAATTTATTTTAAAAAGAATGTGGAAGAGAGATGGAGTTAATTTTAATACTTAACATCAGTTTAGCAATTTCAAATTTTCAAGCTGGTTTCCATGTATTATCCAATTATAATTCTTTCAACAAGTGAAGCAGACTTCTCCAACCTGACACCCTCTGTACTGGCTGGGCTACACATGCTAGATCTGGCAGATGAATTCCCAACACATTCGGAGGACATCCAGTTCAGAAAGGCAGCTGCAAACTGACTCATAATGTAGATCGTATGATTCCAATCTCCTCTACTTCTTGAAAAGGAATCATTAAGGTATTGATCCTTTCAATTGTTCTATTTATTTGTAAATTAATTATTCTTTTTGGTAAAGTTCCCTTAAATGACAGTACCTTGTTTTTGACAGATACCTTAAATATAGTAAGTTATCTGTTTGCAAACCAGGAAGTGCAGTTATTTCAGACTATGTCAAGGTCAGTTCATTTTTTCCCAGAAAGCTGGAGCTATACAAACCATTTTCTAGAGTTGTGCATAGTATATGGAGGGGTGGTTTTTGGGGCTACATTCTCACATTGTCTGAGCAAGTACTTATATGTACAGAAGATACTTATATTGTGATTGCTCCTGAAATGAAACCATTTACTTCTGAGTGGTTTCCACAGCCTATTGTTTTCACTTTATTTTTTTGTTGGAACTAAGCCTAACCCTTTTAGAAAGGAATAAGACAGACAATATTTGGTGCAAGTTATTACCTCATTATTCATGTAGTAGAGATCCAGCGGCTGACCAAAAGCTGTTTTCACTTTCTGCTGGACATCTTCATAGCGGACAGGCCGAGTAAAGGGGATAATTCTGGAAGGGACACCAAAATACTGATTATGGCAGCAAAATGGGCTCTACGCAGTTCATGCAACAAAACAGTTTGGACAGTGTATCAAACATTTTTTCTCCTTTCTCCTAAATTGTTAATGTAACCAATCTTTGCTGATATTCATAAATTCTGTCTACATTATTTGTACAAGTAGTCCCCGGTTATTGACGGTAATTGGGACCAGAATTTCCATCGCTAAGTGATATGGTCGTAAAGTGTGACGTCACGTGACCGCGCCACTTAGCGATGGCAGTTCTGGCACTTCTGGTTGCTATTGTTAAGAGAATTCTGCAACGTCGTTAAGCGCGACGTCATGTGGTTGCCATTTGTGACCTCCAGTTGGCTTCCCCATTGACTTTGCTTGTCGGAAGCAAGCAGTGAAGGTCACAAATGGTGATCACTGCAATGTCATAATTGTGAGCTGGTTGCTGAGTGCCTGGATTGAGATCACATGACTGTGGGGACACTGCAACAGCCAAAACTTCAAGGACCAGTCGTAACTACTACTCGTTCAGCACCATCGTAAATTCGAACAGTTGCTGAACAAGTGGTTGTTAAGTGAGGACTACCTGTATAGTGACAGTTTATTCCTTAACAAATACTTCACACATTGTCTCTATAAAGCAAATCCAGACTGGACGGAGGCAGTCCCCTGGAAAAGGCAGTTTTGAGAGATCATCCTTTATATCAGATATACAATTAACTATGCCTACTCAGCAAAGATAACTAGCAACTGGTTATTTAAATGATAGCAATTCCTTTCAGAAGCAGTAAACGACCCATACTCATCAAGTCATTTAAAAGGAAACTAGGGAGTCTTGGAATTACATGTCCTATCACTAATATTTTCTCTCCATGTGAAATTTCAGAAAAAAGGTGGAAGGCGGCTTGAAAGAACATAAACAAATTATTTCTTACTACCATGAGCTACCACTGAGTTATCACAATAGAAATCTCAAGATCCATGAGATAATGGAAAAATGTTTATTTCCCAGAGTCTAAATGTAACAACATTTGTCAATGCTCAACCTTTTAATCAGCTTTGTACCAAATGAGAGGTGAGATCAAACAATACTATTCCATATGAACTAAGTTTTTCATTGTTTTAACAAAGAATGTTAGAAAAATGGAAGAAAGTTAAATAATTTTAATAGTGTGACATATTTAGATATTTCTTTAAATGGGCTTTTATACATATATAAATATAATTTTAGTGAGAGAGTTTTCTTAGTTGCTTTTAGGTTTTTCCCCTTTTTCCCATTTCCTAGATCTTCTTTCATAGTTTACTATATTTTGGCTACTTTTTTCCCTCACCATATAACTTTTTTTGTATAACAGGTTGTGTTTCTTTTTTAAAATTATATAGTTAATATAATAGCAATATACCCATATTTCCATTTAGGTATATATAATACTACCAAGTTTTTTTTTTAGAAATATTAATTGTAGTGTTTTTGAAGTTTAACCAAAAAGCAAGCAAGCAAGCTCACATTCTACTTGGTTTCTTTACAGAATCACTTCAGAAATTTAGGGGACTCCACCTTGGATTCAGTTATTTATGTAATTTTTAATTCTTTAATCGTAAAAGTAAAAACAAGAATTTCATTAAAGATCAGATTCAGCTTAAACAATGTAACAGAAGTATATCTGAAATGCAGTAAGAAGGTATGTAAAAAGAAAAAGCCAAAGACTTACCGCCTTTCCCCATTATGTTCAAACTTTATCCTGATGTCACTCTGCCAAAGAAAAATTATTCATATTATCTGTAGAACGTTTTGATAATGTTTGCTCACTTTATAATAAAATTATCAAAGAGGATTTCCAAGAATACATGTTTATTTAAAGGCAACTGACTGTAGACCTCATCTCTCCCGTCTCTGTCGAAAGATATTATTCTTTATTCTTTATTTATTTTATTATTTAAATTTGTTAGTCGCCCAACTCTGGGCATATAGAACCAAAAACTAATAAAAGCAATTAAAACCTAAAATCATACAGACAGCCCAGGCTAAAACAATTTTTACAGCAACAAGAAACCACAACAGGGCCCCAAAAATACATTAACCCCAGGTCTGGGACCAAAGCCAGGTTTTAAGAGCTTTCCAGAACCCCAGAAGAGAGGATGCTGTCTGTAACTCAGGGATGTTTGTGTGCATGTGTGTGTCTGTTTCAGAGGGCAGGGGCCAAGATAGAGAAGGCATACTTCCTTGGGCCCCCAAGATGACAATGTTTAATAGAGGGGATGTCAAGCAGACCCGCTCTTCCAAAATGTACCAGATGGGCAGAGACAATTGGAGACAAACAGACCCTCAAATATTCAGGGCCTAAGTCATGCAGGGCTTTATAGCTAATAACCAGCACTCTGAATTGCACTTGGAAGTCAACTGGCAACCAACGCAGGTTGCGTAGCAGCAGTGGCATATGGGCATACCAAAAAGCATCCGTTATTGCTTGCACCACTGCATTTGAACCAGCAGCAGCTTCTAGATGGATGAGCAGCCCCATGTAGAGCACACTGCAATAATCCAGTCATGAGGTGACTAGGGCATGAGTAACTGTCTGAAGGGCCTCTAATCAAGGAAAGGGCATAACTGGCACACAAGATGAACCTCTGCAAAGGCCCTCCTGGCCGCAGCTGCCACCTGCTCTTTGATTTATGATTCGATTAACTATCATCAACCTAATCCACAGCTCTGAAAAGTGTTTGATACCTTCTTGGCCAGATGAGCAAAAGACACCACTACTATCAACAATTGTCTCCAAAAATGCTCCCCTAGCTTTACATTCCTTGTAAAATCCAAGTAGTTTACTGCAATGTGCATGGGGCAGTTCTTGAAGAGCATCCAGAAGCTGTAGCTGATTCAGAATGTGGCAGTGCTGGCAATTATAAGTACACTTTGGTGCAGTCATATTACACTTTTGCTCCATGAGCTGCATTGGCTTCCAATGTGCTTCTAGATGCAATTCAAGGAGCTGGCTGTCACTTATAAAGCCCTTCATGGCCTGAGACCAGGTTATGTGTGGGATCACCAATGATTTCTACCCATCCTGTAGATCCAGGAGGAGAGGCATGCTATGGGTCTTGTCAATTAAAGAATGTCACCTTGCGAGACTCAGGAAGCAGGCCTGCTGTTTGAAACACTGTTCCCCCCAAGATTAGGTTGGTTCTGACCCTACTGGCTTTTCAGAAAACCCCGAAGCCATTGGATGTGTTCCCAAGGATCAGAGTCAGATTGTTAGTTGGAGCCTGTTGTTGCATAATATGTAGTAAATTGGTTTTGTGCCTTGGCTGTCATTAATGTTTGATGTTATAATATTACGTTTTTAATTATGTTAGCTGCCCAGTCACTACAGTGAGACGGGCAGCCACATAAATTGAATGAATGAATAAAACCCTGCATTTTTCTTTTAATAATTAGTTCTATTAAGACAGAGCACTGAATTTTCTTTTGAAGTATCTCATATATTTGCTCCTGGATATAACACAAGGTCTGAACCTGAGGTATACTTTTCTATTTGGAGAAATCCAGAAAAATGCTGTTCATTTTAGTTCTTTCAAATTAAAGCTACTTGCATACTGTAACTGCTACACCAGTGACTGAGCAGTAAACTATTGCATTGACTTTTTAGCTGACTTTGAATAAATATTTAACTATCAGCACTAGAAGAGAAAACAAATTTATTTACCTGTGCCTTTTTTTCCTCTACTGCATGGGTACTTTGTTTTGTTATCATAAGGTTGCTTAGGAGAGCTGGGTTGCTAGCACTGTGTTTTTTCTTAAAGACAGAGAGAGAGAGGGGAAAAATATCTCAATTATCTATTTAAAAGAGAAAAAAACAAAGTTGTATGATATGTGGATCAGAAGTGTGAGGGTGTAGAATGGATGGGTATGTTTATGAAAAGACATAAAGGTATATTGGTAGGAAGTATCTGAGTAAGGAGAGAGAGAGCGGGATGGAGGGTATGGACATTTCTGTGGAGGTATTTGTGGACAGAATGGAGCAATCAATATCTGGAATACTGTCCCATCATGACAGAAAAACTTGAGCAGAAGCTCAGTTTCAGAATAGACAAGCTGAGTTGTCTCCAAACAAAAAACAATCCATGTACAAGAAGTGGTTGGCATTTTCTCTTAACTGCTTGTCTCTTTGACTAGATCTTGAGGCAAAGGGCTCAGCAGTCAAAGAAGAGCTAATCTGTGAATAGTTACAGTAAGGTATATAACTTTTCTCAAGGCAGGAGCCACATTTCATCTTTGAGTAGGGCACTGGGGATTGAGGGCACAATAAAAACAGAACGTGATTTAGTTTAAACCCAATTAAATTAAATTAGGTAAATGCAATCAACATAGTGGAAATAGTCTGATATAGTCTGGTTAAGGTGTTGGGCTAGAAACTGGGAGACTGCAAGTTGTAGGCTCCCCTTAGGCATGAAAGCAGTTGGGTGACTATGGGCCTGTTACTCTCTCTCAGCCCAACCCACCTCACAGGGTTGTTGCTGAGGGGAAAATAGGAGGCAGTATAGTATATAGTATTATAAATACTGCAGTGTAATACTATACGATGTAATACTATATACAACAGTATATAGTATTACAAATATAATAATCAATTTAAAACATTTTAATTGCAGCACTACCAAAATCTAAATCAATATCAAAATACTGTCACTGCAAATAACATTTTTTCACCTAAATAAAGGTCCTCAAAAAGAAGTTTTTAAAGGGCCTTTTTAAACCTCAGGAGATCTGACTCCAATTGTAGTTTAAGAGACAGTCAATCCCAAAGAGTAAAAACTAGATGGGAAAAAGATCTGAAACAGAGATGACCATTCTGATGCAAGGGTAAAATAAGCAACCTAGTTGCATGAATGAGCTGAGTGCACAGGAATATCAATTGTATACATGTTATGACCTGTGGTTATAACAATAAACTTATTTACTTACTTACTATATCAGTTGTAATCAAGTTATTCAAGTGGTGTTTCTATATGCATGGCCCAGAAAGTCAGCACAAGTAATTTAAACTGGTATTGCTGACCAGAAACCAAGCCAAGATTGATGAAAAGAAGACATAGGGATGAATCAGGAAAGGTCAATGACAACGCAGACTATGCTATTCTAGATCTGAATCAGAGGACAGAAACCAACAAATTACTGCAATACTGCAGTCCAGGTGAGATGCCATCAATGCATGAACTAACTGCTTAGCTATTTGAATAGTAAGAAATGAACAGATTCTCTGTATAGTCAAAAGATGAAATTAACATGTTATTGTAATTTTGTCAATGACAGGCTTTAAATAAAGTTTCTTATCAATAAGAACTTCCAAATCTTGTACTACATCTACAGCTTATAGACCTGAAAGTAAATGAAGCAAGAGGCGAAGAGGAGGATAATCAGGATTAAAACCAGTAAGCTTGGTTTTGGAAGCAGATTGCCATTGCCTCCTTCTTAGAGCTGACAAAGAGTGACTGGGCCAAAGTCACACAGATGGCTAAGGTAGAAGTAGAATGTGGGCTTCCTCACGCCTACTCCAGCATCTTAACCATTAGACCAAACAGGCTCCCAATATCCTGAGAAACAGCCACCGATAAATATAAAGTCTGAGAGCAAAACCCTTCTACCTAACTGGAAATGTGTGATGGGAAATATAAGACTGAAACCAACAAAAAACTGTATTGTCAATGTCTAATGAATTCAATGTTGTGATGAAGGGTGGAAATGCCACAAACAATCCAGCAGGGTCATGTGATAAGACCTCACCCCTTGACACAGTCACTTGTCCACTGAAGCCTTCAATCATACTTCTTAAGTATTAAGTGTGGCTTCTGGCTATCAAATGTTGCTCATCCTTGCTCTAGAATTACAGAAATTTTTGAATAAGTCCACTATGAACTCATCTACTCTTCCCAATTTCTTGAGATTTATAGAATGTAGGAGGCTAGGACAACATAATTGCTGTTATAACCTTGAACAGAAATGGCATAGCTATTACTTGATCATAATACATGAGAGTAGTATTATCTCTCTCTCTTGAATTACCTTTGATAATGCCCTCCATTTGGAAGGAAGTACTGATAGAATCTTTGGGTTCTCCAAAGCATCCAAGGGAGAGTAAAATATGTTGCTGAGATTGCTAAGAACTCTTGAGTCTAACTGCAGAAAGGTAATATGAATGGAGATAGCTCCTGAGCAATGTTTCTACCAGCCAAACATATGTAGGATAAACAAGGTTACAGTTATCAGGAGGGTATTACCTGTCTATTGGAATGTGGAGAATCTTTGTTCTTCATGCTATCAAAACCAGACAATCTGGGACGTCGGCTCATTTGGAGGGCAACCAAGTCCTTCATGATAGAATTCAAAGCCTCCTGTTCATCTGAAACAAAAAAAGCAAGTATTTCCAATGAGTGGCCAATTTTTGGAGGGAAAAGATTGCTCCCCCTTCCTCCCTTTGTTTTGCATATTATTTATTACAATTATATATACTCTGACTTTAGAGTATAACATTCCTCCCAAAACAGCTGACAAGCAACATAAACAATATTATTTTAACAAAAACCCTCTTAAAGGACATTTCTAATATCTACATGTCCAATGAGCTACAGTGACCCAATCTCTCCCCAGATTAGCTAAGACCATTTTTAACTTCTCTCCCTTCTACTGCTCGCATTGTGTCTAGCTATTACTAAATTATACTGCTTCTTCCTTTTCAGTGCTATTAAGATCTGTCCTTTAAAATCTCCTGGAGAAGATTTTATCTAGGTCTGGTATGGAAGCAAAGGCCCAGCACATATGCTTTCTAATATTAATACAACATCCAAAAATTTGGAATCTTACAATCTGTGAAGAACTTCACAACTTGGAGCGATAAGAAAAACATTACTATGTACTCATAGAAGAATACTAAAAGTAGGCTTAAATTAGTCATCTCTCAGCCTTTGAATTAGCTTTGTACTGAAAGAGAATTAAGAAGGAAAAGAGAATCAATATGATTCTATATGACCGAGGTTTAATTCACTGCTTATGCAATTTTAATAGCCTGAAATATTTTCTTAATTTTTTAAAAATATATATTTAGAATTAGATATAATTTAGGTACACATTTTTTGTCTCTGAGTTGTGTGTAGTTTAGTTTTTGTTTTTTATGTGTTTTTTTTTTTCATTTTCTAGAGTTTTTGTTTTCCTTTTTTTCTTCCCTGGGTACTTTTTGTATAGGGTTTTTTCTCCACTCACTAAATAGCTATTTTATATAATAGGTTAGGTTTCTTTTTTTAAAGTATATAATATTTTATACAATGGTGACATAATTATATTGCCATTTAGTAGAACTACAACTTTGCAAAATAATAACAACAACAACATTAAACTTGTATCGCTTGCCAAAAGCCTGAGTGAAGGTCACAGGTCTTCTAAACAACAGCAGAGTAGCTCTTCAAGCAGGAGCTGTGAGTCCAGGAAAACCACCAAACTGTGTACTAACCTTGAAGGGGAAAGTCCTACCCCATCCAATGTCAAAGATGGAATATCTCCAGATGTGGATGGCTCAAATACCCACATCGACTAATGTGTCTAGATAAAGGGTTCTCCTCAGCTGCAGACCAACCACTGTCTCAACAACCTTCCCCAAAAAGGGAAGGATGGAGACTGGTGGGAAGTTGGGTCCAAGAACAGCTTCTTCAGGAAGCGGTGCAACACCACCTCTTTCAAAGCAGGAGGTGCCATCCTCCCCTTCCGAGAGGTTGACACCACTGCCTGGACCCAATCATAGGTCACTTCCCTGGCCGCTTTTATAATACGGACAGATCCAGTAAACAGGTAGCTGAGCTGACAGTACAGAGAACCCTGTCCATTTCCTTGAGAATCTCAAGCTCAGACTCATGCCAGATCACTCCTCCAGACCATCCCCCAGGCACCTCAACCTGCTCTGCCCAGTCCACCTCAGACCAAATCTGAGCAATTTTATCTGACAGATAGCCTGAATAATCCTCACAGGGTCCCAAGAGAAGTTCCAAGGGGCCCTCCCTACTAATAGGGACTGGGCTACCCTAAACAGAACCACTGGATGGCTATCAGCAGATACAATAAGGGCAGAGAAATATTGATGTTTTGCCACTCTTATTGCCACAAGGTAATCCCTAATACAGGTGTCTTCGCTTAATGACCACTTGTTCATTTTGAACTTACAAGGGTGCTGAACAAGTGGTAATTACGACCAATCCTCATACTTACATTGGTCACAGTGTCCCTGTGATCATGTGATCGTGATCTGGGCACCTGGCTTGCAATTATGATGTTGCAGCATCCCGTGGTCTCCATTTCCAACCTTCTTTGCCAGCTTCCTACAAGGAAAGTCAATGGGGAAGCTGGCAGGAGGTCACAAATGGCAACTATGTGATGTCCTCGCTTAACGACCTGTGGTGATTCACTTAACAGCAACCAGAAATGCTGGAATTTCCATTGTCAAGCAGTGTGATCACATGACAACATGCTTTATGACCGCATTGCTTGACAATGGAAATTCTGGTCCCAATTACTGTTGTTAAGTGAGGATTTCCTGTATTGGCTTTTACTTACGTTTAGTGAGACTCACTTTGAGTCTTCCTCCAGCAGTGTTCCAGGCATCTCTTCTTTATTTCCCAGAGCCCCTCAGTAAACCAAGGTGCACTCCGGAATTGGCGCACAGGAACAAGGCTCACAGGAGTGATACAATTCAAGGCCCCAGCCATCCACCCATTCCAGGCAGCACCTAGGGACTTGGCCAAATCACCAACCAGATCCTAAGGAAAAACCCCAAGCTCTCTCTTGGAACCTCACTGGGCCCGTCAATTGACAGGGGTGGGACGGTTGAATGGGCCCTGTCTCTCTGCAGGGAGGGGTGACCCAAGTGAGTCGAAAGGCAGCCAGGCAATGATCTGTCCATGGCAAGAGACTGATGTTAATGTCCTCCATTGCCAGATCACATCTCAACTGCCCTGAAGCAAAAAGCAATCTAATGTGTGGCCTCTGGTAAGTGTTGGGCTGTTGATGACTTGAGACAGGTCATGGTTGCCATGGAGGCCATGAGCTCCTGAGCCACCCCAGCTTCAACCTCACCACATGGCAAGTTGAAATCCGCAGGCACCAACAGCCTTGGGGACTCTACTGCCAACCCAGCAATGGAATCCAGCAGCTCAGGCACGGATGCTGCTGAGCAGCAGGGAGGGCAGTACACCAGCAGCACTCCCAACTGTTCCCTTAAGCCTAAATTCAACTAGAGCACTTCATAGATGGTTATTTGCAGAGTGGAACCCCTGAAAGCCTGTAACGACTCACGGATGACAACAGCCAGCCCTCCTCTCCTCCCTTGGGCTCTCAGCTGGTGGAGAATCTGAAAGCTGGGTAGGGACATTTCCAAAGGCAGAACCCCCTTCTCTGGGCCCAACCCCCTTAGGCCAATGGTTTTAAAAGAATATTAATTGCAATGTTTTCAATGTTTAATAAAATTATATTTAAAATGTATTTGGAGTGTTATTTTATGTTTTGTAATAAAAATTATTGTAAGGATACTTAACTATGTATGTTTATTTGTACTGCTACTTTCTTTGACATTTGTTTCCACACATACGTTACATAACAAAATAATACATAAGCTGATTTTTAAAAAATACATTTAAGTTGTACATAAAATGAATAATTTTACCATGGTATAGTATTGCTACCTCAATCACTTACGCTTCAGAGCTTGTTGTCTGCTTTTATTTATCAACACAGCCAGTTAGTGTATATTCAAACAATCTACAAGGGCCTTAGAAAGGGGCACTTGTGTATCCAGAAAGTTAAGAGAGATTCTATGGGAAGAATCCAATATTGTAAGATAAAAAAAATCATGCTAAAAAAAGCTACTATCTTAGGGTGGAAAATGTCCACTCACAACTAGCAACAAGGAAACACCCACTGCTATTTCATTTAGGTTTTAATGCTCTTATGTAAACTGATGATACGTACTACTTCTGTCACCTAATCACAGCACACAGATCTAAATAAACAGACCACAACCTCTGGCTATGTTGGGTAGCCACCAAACCAGAGGTGGAAGCTGCACACACCCTTCAGTTCAATGACAAATTAAGCCATAAGTTAGTTAACAATGCCTGCTTCCACCCACACAAATTTAGGAACAGAGAAAGCAAGTCATTTCTTGCTTACAAGAATGTCAAATTTATTTATTTTAATTTATAATACTTACAATCTGCCCCAATCCCAAAAGAGTCTGGATGATATACCACATCAAACAGAAAGGAAAATTTTAAAATAGCTATATTCAAATCAGTATTAAAAAAAGAGAAAAAAAGGATAAAATCCATAATAGGTGCCTATGATCAGTCAGCTGAGGCCAAAGGCACACTGAAATAACTTGTTTAGAGAATGTTTCATAAGGTGGGGCTATTAAGGAGAAATTCTGCCATCTTACCCCCATTTCATGAACCTCATGAGGAGAAACTTTCATCAGATCTCTTTTAATGACATGCAGGCTCAATTCTTGCAAGACACTGCCTGAAGTATCTTGGTGCTACACCATTTAGGGCTTTAAAGGTAATGACTAGCTCTATGAATTGGGCCCAAAAGCCACCAGCAACCAATGCAGCATTTTGCAAAAGCAGCTTCCAGGTCCATTTCCAACTGAGTGGTGATCAAACCATGAGTTCAAGAACTGAGGGTGTCCTGGCCAGGCAAGCTTCAACTGGTGCATCAACCAAAGCTGTACAAAGGCTCAACTAACCACAACTTCCACCTACTGTTTAAACAGAAGTCACAAGTTCCAAATCACCAGGTTTGTGAGGTGGAGGGAGCACAACCCCATCCAAAGTAACTACTGGGGTTGGTGCTATTAGAATGCCCAGATATTTACTGACCACTAGCAGTTCTGTCTTGGCAGAACTAAATCTGAGCTTGTATTATCGAATCCAGATCCTTACAACCTCCAGACACCAGTTCAAGGTTTCCATTTCCAATATTTTGAACTTGTTGATCCCCATTACATTTTTATAGGAAAAGAATGAGTAAATCATTGTGCTGTTAGAAATATAATTAAAATCATTATATATAATGTATTTTTGATGTCTTAAAGTTATGTTCTGAAAGAAGTAAATATATTTAATTCTGAGACAATTTAATATTTTTGGATCTCCATATTCTTTTTAACTATATACCTATTACATGGAAGTTGACAGCTGGACATCACTGTGCCCTTATTACTAAGAGATTAGTTCAACATTGGGAAGATAAGTAAAGATTGGGTAGAAGACATTATATTGCCTGCAATTTATGAACAAGTTATAGATGTAGATTATATGTTGACAATTGCAAAGAAATGTGGTCCTCCTTTATTGAAATGTT